AAACTTTAGGAACAAAACACCTCAGATCCATTTTGGCATCAGATCGAATGGAAAATCTGGTCGGATGATGTAAACAGCAAGTAGAAAATGTTAGTCAACAGATTGTTGCAGGTTGCTAGTGATTCACTGTGACTGTGTCTTTCAGTGTCTGACCAAAATACTGGTCAGACACTGTATGTGAGGCCTACTGAGGTCTACTTTTGCCTACCAGCTTGTTTTCCTTAATCCAATTTTTTGTTTTACTTTTCAGTCGTATTTGTGCTTCAGATTCCCATCGGTATCCCATTAGATACTGAAGTTAAAGAGGGTCACACATTCAGCAGGGTTCATTTCTGTGGGTTTCAGTTTTCATGGAGTTCTGTACTTTGTAGAATAATTGAGTTTAGCTTTTACATTTTTGTTGTTTCCATGTATGATGATGTTAAATATTTTACATATTAAAGCAGTTCTTTTTCTATGTTTGAAAAAAAGTCTCAAAAATAAAATTGATCTAGTCAGATTTTGATTTGCTGCTAACCACAGATAATTATTTATTTCCCCAAATTTTTGTCATTGGTATTCTTTGCTATGAGAAGCAAAATATATTATTAAAAAGGAATGTTTAAAAATTTACACTAGTATTTTGAGCAGAATGTAATTTCTAATAAATGTTGATTTGAATAAATATTGATGGATGATTCAGTGATTGTCATCGTCATTAACTGTTGCCATATTTTTCAATGTCAGCTTTAAGTAAAGCATCTAGAGATCCTTGCAATAACAGTAAAACATGATTTCTCTGAGCTTCCTTCTTGATCTTGGTATCTCCAAGAGCAGCTGACCTGAGAGACCGATAGGGCATGTAGGGTTGAAGAAGCTCAGAGAGGTAAGCTGGGGCAAGATTATGTAGCGATTTAAATTAAAATGAATCCTAAAATATACAGGCAGCCAGTGAAGTGAGGTCAGGACAGGGGTCACATGTTCCCTCTTTGGAGTTCCTGTCAAAAGTTGTACAGCAGCATCTGAACCAGCTGCAGACGTGAGAGCAGCGACTGACTGACTCCCAGATAAAGTGAGTTACAGTAATCCAATCGAGTCAAAATAAAGGCGTGGATCACTGTTTCAAAATGCTGCCTGGAAATAAAAGATTTCACTGACGCCAATCGCCTTAAATGATAAA